ATGGTGCTACGAATGGCGAGACTTACTGACGATGCCGGCGAAACGTCTGAGAATGTACCACGTCCACGGTGCAACTTTGGAAATAAACCTGCGTGAGTTGGCTTGCTATATACCCTAAATTATGTTTGTGAACTAAAAGTTTGGAACTATGAGTGTCTCTTGCAACACTCGAACTTAGAATAAGGTCATGTAGTTATTGGCTAAAGCAAGCTCCCAGAGCCAAACTCGTGTCTGCAAATACAACTTACCATTGAAGGTAAAATATGTATCATGCATTGCCAAATTGACTAATCTAATGATTGCATCTCTGCTTAACTTTCTACCTGTTATGCTTCCAGGGCGTTGATCCATAGTTAATTATAGCGCCTTCTTTTATCGGAATGTTAGTGGGCATAGACACCACATCGAAACTTACCAGCAAATCTCCTCTTTCCATCGTCACATCTTCAAGTAACTTATTAAAGTGGTAAGAGTTCCTTACCGAAAGCTTCCAAGTCTCGGAGATTTGCCTCAACTGATCACGAATTCCTTCCAACCAATTTTCCCTCCAAAACGGAGAGTCCTGCCACATTATTTTATAAAGGAATTCTTCGAAGCCCAGTTTTTCTTCATATTTTCCATATCACATTCTGTGTTGGGATTGTCGATGAAGCAAACTTATATTTTCTATAGCAATCGACGACTACTTTTTTCGTAAGTGAGTAACTTTTCGAGAAACGTCAGTTCTACTCATATCATTGTGGGAAGCATCAATTACCAGTCCTTCAATACTTTAGACTAATTAGGATGAACACAACTCATTTATCTGATTGACTGGTAGTCTCGAAGGCCTACTCACTTCCGAATAAAATGCGAGGTCAAACCACTTTTGCACTGCGAAAGAAGACAACAACCCAACCAGAGGCTATAACACCTTAGTCTCAAAGGTTGTGTGGCCTTTTAAACGAGACATGTTTTGGCCAGGATCTCTTCTGAAGTGTTGGATACTGACATAGCTGGCAAAGCAGTGTCACCTCATATCCATCTTATTGAGGAAAAAAAAGCCAAGACCGATGATGATGATGATGCCTTCTTGTGCCAGAAAGAAGGTTTTACGGGCTAGCAACAGTGACCGAGGCTTTGGCCGTCTAATTTCCAAGACTTGCCCGTGTCGAGTTCGACTAGGAGGCTTGTAAAAGTGGTTTTGGAAAAGAGTCCGATTTTACTCGAATCACGGGAGGATGTCTTTTGGACTTTGTAAACGTGAAGGTCATATTAAAGCCAAACGGCTGCAGTACAACGCGAATAAGGTGAGCTTTACCTACGAATCTCTCCATCGTGTACTTTCATGTGCAATGAAAGTCGTCACAGCAACAACTTTAGTCAGCATAGGCCTCCTACTAGAACGAGGATGCCAAACACAGATTTCCTCGTTAATACCAGTCTCATATGGCCATCCCCTTTTGGCTGGAATTTGGCTACTGGCGCCACTTCGTGATTGTGTACCGTCCCGTTGGGGATCCCGAAGAGACCTGATGAATAAACCTTCAAGAAGGCACGGCTAGCCGGGCTTGACTGGCATCGTAAGAAGGTAAATTCAACATCTCTTTAAGCGATCTAAGCCGACGAAAACGCTCTTTCAGGGTCTACTGGTAGCCTCGAGACACTCACTCGAGTCGTAAGTGAATCGGTGCATATCCTGAAGCCCTATGGTCCTACTCTTATGATGCTACCAAACATTTACGAGGTCCAGCCTCGGTCATTTACAGAATACACAGAACTGTACGTCAATTCTCATTTAGCCGTTCCGGACGTCCAGGTAACCAATACGTTGAGTACAGTTTTCGGAAAACTTTTGACCTACAAGTTTTGACAAGACCTTGACTACGAGGGAAACTTTGTGACGATGT